TTTTTTTGTCTAGCTGCCCTTAATATTTTTTCTTTGTCGTTGACTTTTGCCAGCTTTACTACTATATGCCTTGGAGAGGGTCTTTTTGTGTTGATATATGTAGGAGATCTATCGATTTCATTCACTGGTATTTCCAGCTCCTTCCCCAGGTTTGGGAATTTCTCAGATATTATTTCTTTGAACAAGTTCTCTGTTCCTTTTTCCCTCTCTTGTGCCTCTGGAATACCTATAATCCTTATGTTGGATTTCCTAATTGAGTGGGATATTTCTCGGAGGGTTTCTTCATTTCTTTTTAGTCTTAGTTCTCTTTCCTCCTCCATCTGGAGCATTTCTGCATTGCTGTCCTCAGTATTGCTAATTCTTTCCTTCATAATGTCAGCTCTGGTGCTTAAGGCTTCCAGATTTGTCTTTATCTCCTCTACTGTGTTTTTCATCTCTGAGATTTCTGATTTTTTTTTTTTTTTATAGTTTCAATCTCTTCTGTGAAGAAACTCCTGATTTCACTGAATTGTCTGTCTGTGTTTTCTTGTATTTCATTAAGCTTTTTTATGTTGGCTATTTTGAATTCTCTGTTGTTAAGGTTATACATTTCTGTGCTTTCCGGGTTGACTTCTGGGTGCTTGTCATTTTCCTTTTGGTCTGGAGATTTAATATATTTTTGCATGGTGCCTGTTGGTGTTGGCTTACCTTTCCTCTTGAAAATATATGTTCACAGTTTCCTCTTGCTTCTGCTGGGTGGGGGTCAAGGGCTGTGTATTCTGGCCCACCACAATGCATGGGCACTCTTGTCGGCGCCTGGTTGATCTGCAGTGTGGCTGAGTGGAGGCTGCTGGGGGGAAAGGTGGAAACAGCTGGAGCTGGAACGCAGCTAGGCTGAAGCAGCTGGGGCTCGGGTGCAGGTGGGTTGAAGCAGCTGCAGCTGAAGTGCCGCTGGGCCAAAGAAGCTGGAACTGGAGTGCGCCGGGCCGAAGAAGGAAAAGCTGGAGTGCACTGGGCTGAAGAAGGAGGAGCTGGAGCGCCACTGGGCTGAAGAAGCTGGAACTGGAGTGCGCGGAGCCAAAGAAGGGAGAGCTGGAGCGCCGCTGGGCCAAAGAAGCTGGAACTGGAGTGTGCTGGGCCCAAGAAGGAGGAGCTGGAGCGCTGGTGGGCCAAAGAAGCCGGAACTGGAGTGCGCTGGGCCAAAGAAGCTGGAACTGGAGTACACTGGGCCAAAGAAGCTGGAACTGGAGTGCGCTGGGCCAAAGAAGGAGGAACTGGAGTGCCGCTGGGCCAAAGAAGCTGGAACTGGAGTGCGGTGGGCTGAAGTTGCTGGCGCCAAGTCAGCTGGAGCCTGCGCACAGGCCAAGGCGAAGCAGCTGGAGCTGGGGGGTCGGGGGGGGTGGTCAAGCCGAAGGAGCTGGGGCCGGGGCACGTTCCAGCCGAAAGAGCTGGGGCCGTGGCACGGTGGAGCCGGGGAAGCTGGGGCCATGGCTTGGTCCAGCTGGAGCAGCTGGGGCTGTGGCGTGTTGGGGACTAAGCTGCCGCTGCCTCTGGTGCGGGGGTGCAGGCTCGCCCCACTGCTGGTCGGGCTGGGCGCCTGGGGGCTGCTGCGTCTGGGGATGGGGCTGAGCTGAAGCGTTGCTGTGCTGAAGCACCAGTTGGGCGGGCTAGGTGGGGGAGGGGCGCTTTCTTTCACCTCCCTGATCTCAGAGGTTTCTCACCTCGTTGTCGCTCTCTGCTCTCCTGAGGGGCTAGCTTATTGAAACTACCCTTGCAACAGTTCCTCTCCCTCCATAGTGGGATCCCCTCGGGCTGTGAGGGGTCTTAGAGAGCATCAGTTTTCACGTGGCTAGCTGCCCCTTCCCCTCCTCTGAGAGCCGCATGGTCTCAGTCTCTGGGTCTGCAGTCCTTGGGGAAGGAAGGGAGCTCAGCTCCTCTTACCTCCTTCCACTTACTCTGGAGATTCCAGCACCTCAGTCCTCAGGTGTACAGCTGCCTGGGTGCCTCAGACGTCCCCTGTGTTGTGTGAATAGCTTCTGTTGGAATATGAATGTCCTTTTTGTTGTGTCTTAG